AATAGCAACATAACATGCTCATCTTCTGAGGAGCAGTGGGGGAAGAGTGGGGATGAAAAGAAAGAAGAAAGTGTGTGTGTGGGGGGGGGGGGGTAGTGCGGGGGGAGAACCAGTGACAGAAATTGCCTGTAAAAAGCAACCTCTGTCAAGTCATGTCAAAAAGAGGCAGAAAGGTGCCTACTTGGCCATATTTCTGTGAAGCAATAGCTACATCCAGTGGTCATTGGAGCTAATTGACACAGGGTCCTTGCTAAAATCTGGAGAGACCTGGGGCTCTGGGGGGAGGGCAAAGCTGGGAAGTATTTTGGAGTTTAGTGCAACAGCCTCTCTTTCTATTCTCAGGCCTGTCCTGTTCCCATACAGTTCTGGGTTTACTACAGAAGACAGCCTAACTACTATGAACCGTGATAATAATGTATTCTGTTTCTAATCACGCTCTCCCAAGGGAAAATCAATTTGGATTTTAACAGCCTTTCAGCATGCCTTAAAATGAAGGCATTTGCCATTATTTGCCATTATTACATATACTAGCTCAGAGAAACCCAGTTGTTGCTCGTTGAGTTTTACGTTCTGCAGAAGTTTGCGCTACATTCATTCAGCTCTGCTACTAAAATGCCTCCCAAAAGCAGCACTTCAACACCCACAATACCTTAAAGAAAACCAGAGGAAAGGTTACTTTCAGCACAGCAGGGGCAGCCTCGCCTGTGAGGAGACCCCCAGTTCAGAGCAGGAATCACTTCTGCATGGCTACATACCTGTGCACAGAAGGAAAGAGCAAGTGCCTTAGGGCAGCCTTGTCTGAGCGGCAGCAACACCAGGAACAAGGTAGCAACAGGATTCAGACACACTAAAAGGCCAACAGAGTGAGACACCATCTTGCTCTGCTTATGTAGCACCTCCCCAAGACACCACTTTCCCATCCAACCATGAGGCCAAGAGCCTGTTCCTAGGTTCCGCACAGCAGAGCTGTCCTGCAGCATCCCAGCAGAATGACCAAGCAGCCAGTGGTAATGTCTCCCCATCTTTCCCACAGCTGTTTTTTGTATATTTAGCTTGCCAAGTTGAAAAGAGATATGTAAAGTCACTATCCCACAGTGCTTTGCAGTATGACAAACTTAGATGCTGCTTGGATTCAGCCTCCAGCACCCATCAGAAGAGCACGATGCCTGTGTGTCAAGAGCAGGAGTGCACACCTCTAACAATTCAAGTAGCCGGGGCAGTCTACTAGGCAAAGGGATTTTTTTTTTTGGTCTGTCAGCTCCCACATGGGAAAGTCCTATGGCATTTAACAGGAAAAAAGGTTTTTTCTACAGAACTAGTTAATCATATTCATTCTTCCTCAGACTTCTGCAAAAGGGGACGGGAAAGAAAAGATTCCGAGAATAACCTCCCTCTAATCATTAGACCACTCTAATTTCAATTAATTAGAGTTTAAGTTGTATGGAGGTTTCATCCTCCTTGCACACTGTGAAGCAGTCCCACAACTAATGAAGCAAGTCTCATGGCTGTATATGAAACACTGTCCACTATCCTTGCAGGGGAAAAAGAAAAAGCAGCTGTATTCTGCCACAGTCCTTGCACACATGTGCAAAACATGTTCCTACATGCTTTGATGCACCAGGAAAGGCAAACAGGCCTCAAGGCTGCAAGACAGTTAATTAACTCTTTGAGCATCAACAACAGCAGAGCTTTCTACAGCTTTGCTGAAACTGTATGAAGTTGAGAGATGGTAGAAGGATGGAGAGCAGAAGGGAGAAGACAGAGCTGAAGGGGGAAGAACATGCACCAACTGGTATTTGAGTACACACTGCAAAGCAAAGTCTGCTACAGCATCAGCTAGTGACACACAGGGATCATAGAACAGTTTGGATTGGAAGGGACTTTAAAGGATCATCTAGTGCAACATCTTGAAGCAGATCAGGTTGCCCAGAACCACATCCAGCCTGGCCTTGAATGCCTCCAGGGATGGTGCATCCACCACCTCTCTGGGCAATCTGTACCAGCATTTCATCACCTACATTGTACAGATTTTTTTCCTCACATCCAGCCTGAATCTCTCTCTTTTAGTTTAAAACCAGCACCCCTCATACTACCACAACAGGCCCTGCTAAAATGTCTCTCCCCATCTTTCTTATAAGCCCCTTTTAAGTACTGAAAGGCCATAATAAGGCATCCCCAGTCTTCTCTTCTCCGGGCTGAAACACAGAACAGCTTAGATTGGAAGGGACCTTAAAGCTCACCTAGTTTCAACCCCCTGCTATGGGCAGAGGACTCCTTGCACTAGACGAGGTTGCTTAAAACCCCATCCAGTCTATCTCTGAACACCCCCAGGGATGGGTCCAAATCTTATACAACTGGAGGGGTGAATGCTCAGGTTTTGGAGGCTAACTGCATTCATTTAGTGCCTTTTCAGACAACCATGTGGAGGAGTGGCTTTTGTAGGCCTGGGGTTTATCTCGGGCACATCACTGTCTGTGTGGAGGTGTGGCTGAGGGCAAGAACCAGAGCACATGAGGACAGAGAAGGCAAAACCCAACCTACCTCATGTTTCACAGCCCAAAACATCACTGCTTCTTCCTGACTGCTCTTGCAGGAGCTTAGGCATTTAATATAACTGCATTAATAAGAAATCACTGGAAGATTTTTAGGAGCTAAATACAGATTCATAAAATGAATCCTAAGTATTTGTGCCTGTTCCTGCTCAGTTGTTCCAAGATCACTTTTATAACATTAGCTATAAGAACATCCCTGTTACTCAAAACTATTGCCACTCCTCAGCCCAAGCAGCACCTGCATGAGATTTTCCAGCACCAAACATGCAGGTGGAGCAGAATGAAAACATTTTGCCAAAGGGTGCTGCCTCCACACACTCTTCCCTTGCTCCAGTCCCCAGCATTCCTTCACATGCACTTCCCTGCCCCATGTAAAGAAGAGCCAAGGTTTTTTTTGTGTACAAATCCAAACAGCACATAGCACAGTGACAGAGGAAAAGCACTGAGCTACCTGAAGGTGCAAGGCAAGCTGAGCCCTCGAAGCCAGCTTTTATGCTCATACCTGATCGCCAGAGCACAGGCTCCAAATTTCACATCTGCACTACTCCTTCCACCAATGCAAACTGCACTAAGGCAGGCACTCAAAGCATCATCTTTTTCCCTCCTCTCCTGAGGGAAGTGAAGAACGTGGTCCCCATCTACCAGTTGCTATAATTATTCCTTTTTGTGCTTGGTCTGAGTTGCCCACTTGGGGATACTTACAAGCCTGGAGAACAAAGGAAAGATGGCACTCTCTTCCTAGTCAATGTGTGTTTCTATGTCTGCCTGCCTGGTGCTGTTAGGAATTGAAAAGGCTTCAAAAGTTTCAAAATACCCACGATACCATCAAGCCAAAACATTTAAGGAATCTAAATAAACCTCTAAGGTTCCCAAAATCAGCTTTGTAGTTGTGCCAGCCACAGGCTGCCAGCAAAGCCAGCCTTCATCAAAATCAGAAAAGCTGGAATCAACATTCGCTGGGGGAAGGGTGAAATTAAACCCAGTGTTAACTGTTAATGTGTCTGCCTTCAATAAATAATGTCAAAAGGATGCAGCTGAGTAGTTCTAGGAAAATGGAAAGTTGTTGTTTTGCCTATTACAGAGCACTCAAAACCACAACACAAAGAAATTTTTTCAACAGGCAAACATATTGCACAGTATCTGGAAAACACAGGGGCTTGAGAGCCAAGGTACTGTTGACTGGAGATAGATGCAGTCACAGAACTCGACAATCTGCCTCAAAGTCACCTTTGTAGGGCAGCTGGGGATGAGGAACAGAAATCAATCTTGGGGCTAACACTATACTTCTACTTCCCAAATCAGACCCTCTTTATCCTTCAAAATAAAAGAATATTGGCTCTGTAGCATTAGCTACTGGCACAGTATTGTCACCCTTGTACAGAGTAGAGGCTACTAAAGATGGGCTACAGGCAAATTAACTTGACAACACACAAGAAAGCGGCTATGCCACCCCAAAATGCTCATGTCTGTACTGCTGTATCGCCTCCTGACACAAGACAAATGCCCTGATGTTAGCTTTATCTGGATGCATTTATTTGAGAAAATAAGCAGGCTGTGGTTAGTTTGTTTTCTTAATATTTGATTTAGTCAGACATGTGGCCACAAAGAAAATGCAGGACTTCAAAAAGGCTGAACTTTTTGGCATTTGTGTGGCATCAGACAAACTACAAAGGCCACTCAGCTGTCAAGATTTTGCCACTCTTGATTTTAGAAGACACTTTATCCCTAGGAGCATAATGGTTTTCATACAAATGGAGGCAATGGTAGATCACTCCTCTTAACAGAAGAGGCAGTTTTTGGGGAAAACAAGGTATTTCAGCAGGTAGAAACTTCCCTTGACAGGACTGGGTGTGGGGGAAGAGAAGAAAATCTGGATCAGTAGGGTTGCCAACTCACAGGACTCTTACCAGGAAGGAAGTTTTCAATACTTGGCATTTTTCCTGAAGTTTTAAATCACCAAAATAAGGCGGTTACATGACAACTTCACCTGCCATTTTTGATCTGTTTCCAGCTGCCAGCACCACAGGGGCAAGACTGAACACCAGAAGGAAACATGTTCTGAAGGCACAACTCAGTATCCAAAAGGACCACAAACTACATGCTCCACTCGTATTTTGGTGCAGCCCAACTCCAGGTTTTGACTGAAGCTGAGTAATACCAGCTGATTCAACAGTGCTGCAGATTTAACATTTTCAGTTAGTCCCAAGTACAAACCCCCAAAACCCCAAAGATCCACTATTTCACCTTGGAGGAGTTTTGAAGCAAGCCATTAATACTTTGGTTTGCTCTCATGAAGAAGTCTGACTTCCAGCATTAAAATGCAGTATTAATTGAAAATCAAAGTCCCCCTTGATAATTGCATCACAGTAAAAAGATGTCAAAAATTGTTTCCTCTGCCAAGCACATTCACCCAATTAAAATGTAATGAGCTCCAAAGGTGGGGTTTGGTTTTGTTTTTTTGATTGATCCAGAGCAGCTCTTTGGTCTCTTGCCAGGGCTTAATCACTCCGCTCAGAAGTGTGCTACCTGCAAACACCTTGGCCTCACACCTCTCCTCGCAGCAGCACACTGTAATAAGGATAAGCCTCATCAGAAGGCAAGTCACTGCTTCAGCCATCCTCTTCTCCCTGCCCAGCTTAACAGGATCCTTTATTTTCCTGAGCAACAGCTTTCAAGTTGAACAACTACTGAGCATTGCCAAAAATGTGGCTGTGCAGGAGACAGGCTGGGGCACCCAAGTTTTGGAAGATCTGATCCTTATCCAGGAGATGAAGACTGAGACCTTCAGAAAGAAAACTCATCGACAGCAGAAGAAAAGCAACCTTCAAATCAGGAAATATGGCACTAAGCACAGACATCTCTTTCCGTAACGTTAAGGTCACTCACATTCTCTCATCATATCAGAGTTACGTGGTTCATTCAAACTGAAGTTTCTGATGATCTTGGAGTATTTAAACCAGAGAATGAAGGTTACAGCATGCAGTCATGTCAGGACAAGAAAACCTGGCATTTCTTTCCTTTCTTGCTACTGCAGTGGCCAAGAATTTCTATTTCAGTATGGACTCTGGCAAAACAAAAGCAAATATGCAAATGGATTTCATCTCTAGAGTTTACACCTTTGACCTCTGTAGGTATGACGTGGATATGACCCTATCTGTGCAAAAACCACACACACCCCATTCATCTGGGCTACCAGATCTTGAAGCAAAATCCCTCAACAATAAGTGAGCACATTCACAGCCACTGAAACAAATGTGCTGAAATAATCATTCCACAGGCTAGGAGATCTTTTTCTTCACCTTTTACCCAATTCTTTTTTATTCCAGTCTCAGTTTTTCCCCTGCGAAAGACCACAATCTTAGCCTGGAGCTGGACAACCCCTCCTTATTCATAAGCCATGTGTTCATCTGACTGATCTTCCACTTTCCAGCCTTAAACTCGTTTAAACTTCAGTAGTCAAACAACGTAATTTAAGAGATTTAAAGTCACATTTCTGATCAAGAAGGAAAAGAAAAAACACAAACAACAAAAAACTCCACAAAACAACAAACCCACCACCATCATCTTTTACCAAAAGGGAATTCATAAACCCTATAAAACACCAGGAGCTTGAAGGGAAGTTTACTCATACTAAAGTCTGTATCTGCCCAAACGTACATGCAGCCATCAGTAGACAAGGTGTCAAGAAAGTCAAGCAGCTTACCCTATAGTACTTGCATGGTTGTTTTAAGGGGTGGTGGTCGCTATAACCATTTTCTTACCAAAATAAAGGGCAGATTCTAGGCTTTGCTTGATGCTCCTTTTAAATGTGTGTTTTAATCAACTGTGTTAAGGGTTCTACATTTTTAAACTGCTGAAATTAGTGTTTTACCTATGCCATGCTCCAAAGAAGTACAGGCCTTAGAGATAAAAGCCTTACCACTAGTTGCACCATAGATAGAAACAGAAATGCAAATCCTATTTGGGCTTTTGTATCCTGCCTTGGGATCAAGCTGCAGATGTCCAGAGCTCATGTGCATGAGGCATTACTGCCTGGACTAATGCTCTGAGAGGCTGGAACAAATATATTCTTTGTGAAATTACTACAAAAGATGGGACACGTAATACATACTTACCATTGTTTTACAAGCATTCTGCACCCTAAAGCAGCTTGTTGTTTGTGTTTGCAAAGGCTTGTTTTACAGGCCTGGCTCAGCTATCTATTGCAATCAGACACCAGTCTGTGCTGCCAGTCCTGGGCTCTGGATTCCCCATGCCTAGTCAGGTCTCTTGAACCCAAGCAAGGTTCAGGCACTGTCAGCCTGACCTCCCTGGCACAGACACTCATTGTTTAGGACCCTTATTTTGAGATGCTGGGTCTACAGCCGACCTATTATAAGCTAGGAGCACAGTAAGCGTATATATGTGCTCCACAGAGCAATAATCTTGTCAGATACCTTGGTTTAGAGTTTAACCCTTCAGGATTTGTTGAGAAGTAGGATCTTAGCAATACACTTTGCTCAGAAAACAAAGCACGAGTCATGAACGTGGGCAAGAAATACCAGCTGCTGATCTGTCCCCTCCAATTTTCATAGTGCACAGTCTTTTGGGCTGCACACAATGTCCTCCGAGTACTTTTCAACACCTCACTTCATTTTCTGAGTCAGATTTAAGTCTCTGGCCAAGCAGCTTGGCCTGTCTTCACCACCAGACAGCCTCCTAAGCAAAACGTACAGTACAGTTAACAATCAAAATGACTATGGCAAAATACACTGGAGCTGGCAGACTGAAGCAAGCAGTACAGATACATATTAATTTATCACAGCTTGTAACACAAAACAATAAAAACCCAGAGCTTCATGATGTGGCCTATATGCCCCCCTTGTGCATATAAGTCTCATTAAAGTTAATGGGAGCTGTGTGCCCATTGTATGGGGAATATAAACTCTGAGCAGTGAAATGCACCATATGTTTCCCTATCAGAAAAAAACACACAAAAATCAACTGATACTAGCTTTCATCCTTCTGGGAAGCCATACCTGATGGCACACTGGTGGCTGGACACAGGGCCCAAACTCCTTTTTATACAGTGAGAACTTCTCCCTATACAATGAATGACAAGGTCAAGCGAGATGCAGATGGCTTATGTTTCCTGAAAAACCTCCAGGAGTTTGTTATAGTTCATAAAAAGAAGACATGGGGTAAAGGAAGTCAAACATCAAAGGTTTCCCCATTTTTACCTCCTGCTCATGAACCCCCAGTCCTCTAAGTTTTGCACCAAAACCCAGAAAGTGTTGCATACTCAAAGCCATTTTCACTCTGACAGGAAAACCCCAAAAGAAAAGTTTCAAGCCATGTGAAGTGTAAAGTGTGGAATTCTACCTGCTACTGACATGATGGATAAAAGGAAGAGCTCAGCTTCAGAGACAGCAGAACCTCCAATTCTAGGTGCTTGTAAAATGGGGAGGTTAGAAGAGACAGTGATGAACCACTTTCCTGAAACTTTTGGGGGTTTTAAGCCCATTTAAGCTACAACATCATGGAATCAAGGGTGCTGATTCAGCACCAGGCACATGACTTACAGCCAGGATCTTGGGCAGAAACCTGCTGAGAAAACATCTGCTGATTACTTCCAAAACTGGAGAGCTAAACTACAAGATGAATCTTTGACCTCCAAAAAGGTGACTAGATATCTGCAACACAACCCTTCCCTGGTTTTGTGTTTCTTTATGGCATTAGACTCCTACAGAATATAAAACATTCCCATTGTGTCACAGTCTCTTGGAGGGCTGTTTTTTGCAGACATTGCAATGAATATGGCCAAGTGGTACTAAATAAGCGTGAGAGAAGCTGGAAAGATGCCAGGCACAATGGAAAAAACTCAAAGCTTGTTGCAGAGTTTGGGGAATAATTCTGTCAATTGCTGCTTAGCAGAACACTGGGTATTTGGGCAGCATTTCATCATTATTTTCATGTCAGTCATATTGCTCAGCACTCTACTGACTTGTCAATTGAGTGGAAAAATAGGTAAGTGGACAGCAAGCAACGTCAAATAAGTATTAAGCCTTCTTTCAAAATAATAATACAGAAATAGTTTGATCAGGCCTCAGGCCTGCTTCCAACACTGATAAATAGCTTTCTCATCCTGTCAAACAGTCATATTGATTTCAAATGCATCTAGTGGGACAATTTACTGAAAACTTAACACCATTCAGAGCATGTAAAATAAACTCTCTTGCATACAGCACTGGAAGAAAAACAGTATTTTATCTCTTAGCATATGCAAAGCAAGAAAACGACGTTTTGAGTTTATTCTACAAGAAATATGGGAAACACCGTGTTTTTGTGCTGCATGCATAACTTACTGAGCCTCCTATACCACATCTGGGTTTGGTACAGATCTTATTAAGCATGATATTGGCAGTCAACATATGCTGCATTCCTACATCAGTGGTAAGTAGCTGCATGCAAGTAGACTGCAAAATGGCATCCCCCTCTCCATTTTCCCTCCTTGTAGGCAAACATGCACATGTCCACACAAAGCAGTGGACCCAATCTTCAATATCCCATAGCCAGTCTGTACATGCACCTTCTTTGCCTTAAGCAGGACCCTCTCAGACGCATTCAGTGAATCAAAAGAATCTGCCATACCTCCTTTGTGGCAGGGGCAGAGTATAGAGTGGAGCGGGTGAAGAGCATAATTCTGGGGCTTTAACACATATGTAACTTATTTCAGAAGTGCCTACAGAAGTTCCCAGGGCTGATGGGAAGCCTGTGCCATTATAAGCAGGCAGGTCAAACCCACAAACCAAGCTGGTGATTTTTCATTTCATCCCAGCCTTACCGTGCTTTGATTTATGATGATCTATATTTTCCTTTTTCTGTTGGAGCTAGAACTGGTCACCTTCAGCACAGCGATCACCTGCCCACAGGCAAGGGGGCAGACATTGTCTCTGGGGACCATAATCGAGACGAGCCCACTTACGTCTGGGGATAAAAAATACAGAGTTTCATAAATTTAAAACAACACACACAAGGCAGAAGTGTGACCACACTTTTTCCATGTAAATAATGTCATACTTGTGAGGAGGGGGCCTTCCGTCGTATTTCATGAATGGGATCATTATGTTGCACCTGACCTATAGACATTTCAATTGCCTTTTTGTTTTATTATTTTTCTTATTTATTTTTGCTTGATGACTTGTATATAATCAAATGCTTTATGATGTTAAATCTTGTTAAGACATTGCACTTTGCAGAGGCATAATGTCAGTAAGTTTAATCAATCTATAATTTTTGTACAGGAAGATCCCGCTGTGACATTTAAGCACTGGAAAATGCTCTGAGGAGGAAAGAAGGGCTCTATCCACAGATATTTTCAGAGCCCCACATAGCCAAAGCTTTCAGAATAATTTAAGGTTTGCTTTTATTATCACCAGCATCATCTTTTTACAAATAGAAAAGTAAGAATTGCATTAGCAGGAGTGGGCCAGACTCCAGACAGAGGCCCTGTGGAAGAATTTGCACAGAGTCTAAGTTAGCTCAGATTCGTATTGGCCTCCAAGAAAAACATTCAGGAGAAACATTAAATCCTCTGAAGGGAAATATTAACAGATAGTCATGAATGGAAACTGATTATTAATTATTTCTCTCTCTCTTTCTCTCCATTTTATATTTTTAGTTTAAAATGTCATGTAAAGCCTGACATTGATAAAAATGGTAGGAAATGTTCCTTGCTCAATTAAATTACCACAAAGACCAGCTTAACATCTGCTTGGCAAAACCTTTATAAATGCATGGCATTAATATTTAATAAAAATATCTATAGCTTTGGTTGGTACCAGAGACATTTCACACTTTGCTCACACATGGTGTTTCATACAATTATTCTCTAAAGGCTGTCACTTTAGTCCTTTAGCAAAATAAAAGCTCCAAGGATGATTAAATATAGAAAGTGCATCTTCTAGAGCATAGTCTTCCTCTGCAAGATCATTTCTACTGACTCTTACATTATAAGGGAAAACCACAGAAAGGAGAAAGCAGAGCCAAACTAGACGAGAATAAAAGAAAGACCTCACTACTCTTGTCAGTACAGTCTGAGTAAAGTTAGAGCTGGCAGGTTCAAATCGCCCTCTACAAAAAGTAGAGCTCGTATAGCTCAAAAAGGTGGAAGCGATTCCTCACCACTGTTTAGTCAAAGCACAACACCTACTTGCAGGGAGTTGCACCTAAAACCTGATCACTTAATCTACTCCATTTACATGATTTATTCCCACACCGATTCTCACAAAGCCGCTGCACAGCTGCTACACCACCTCAAAGATACTCAAACCCTTCGTTTCCCAGCCAGAACCTTCAAAGCTTCCAGCACCTGGAGTCTGCAAAACTTCCTAATCCCAGAGACTATGCTATAGCCAGCTCAAGATGAAGCCAGATGCTCAAAGCAAGCAATAAAATGGTAATGTTACCTGCACAGCCCAGTCCCAGACTGTGCCCAGAGCACACAGCCCCACCTCAGGGAGCCAGCAGCAGCCTTTAGGAGTGCCAGGGCTAGAGGACATCCACGCAGAGCTAGCTGGCAAAGGCTAGCACAGCAGACATCAAGGATGAGCAGGGGATAGACAATACCGGCCAGTATGGCATGTCTTGCTCGTGTGCTTATCAGCCCTAGACATCTACTTTCAGGGTAAGGCTTGTGCTTGAATAAGCCAAGACAACACCACCACATTCTTGCCCAACAGCTACATGTACCCTGTTGTTCTCCATCCCACTACTGCTTTCCCAAAGCAGCTCTCCACCTAGGTGGTCATGATGCTTAGATGCTATGTGGAAGGGAAAAAGGTAAGTACACATTCTGTTTTTATCTTCAGCTTGAAATTGTGCCTGTGCAACACATCACACAGAAGGCCAGATACAGCACTACAGAACAGAGCTAAGCCTTTCTGAATCACAGAATCATTCCTTTCCAGATACTCTGATATCAGTCTAATGAATAAAGAATTAAAACCAACTTTGAATGAGACAGGCATCAGTATGAGACCAAGCACCTCCTGCTTCAGGAGACTTCATTCAGCTTCAAGGACAGCAGCAGATTTATTAAATTGTGGTCGCCTAGAAAAGTGAACAAAAATTATAGCATCCAATCACCTCCAGCTACAACCCAAGTCTGAAATCATAGTTGTCTTCTCAGTGCATTTCAGTGCTTAGCCAGCTCCATTAATCTTAGACTGAAATATCTGTGTTCAGAAAAACAATTGCCACCCAGCACAGCAAACTGTCCCTGGCACAGGAAAAACCTCTCTGGCTTTTGAGGAAGGGGTACAACTGAGTTCACATTCATGTTGTACGGAGACTCAAGTGCATTTGCTAGAGTGCTCTCAAGAAAAAAAACCCACAAAACAATAATCACTGACCAATGAAATAGACCTATCTGGAAACATTTAGCGAAAGTAGGGATATTTGACTGTGGAATAATCTCCCCAGGGAAATGGCTGAGCACTATTGATTGAGTCTTTCTGAAACTACCTACACAAAGGATGGGAAAAAATAAAAATCACAGTATGGTACAGCCCTGCATCTGCAAGGAGAAGAGAAGATGGTTTTCAGTAAGTCTCTTCCACCACTGATTTTGATGCCCCTCTAATCTGCTGAGCTCCCTATTGATGGAAAATGAGTTCTGCTTGACAGTCTGTGGCTGGGGAGTAAGGGGCACTGTGAACATCACAGTGAAATGATCTGGCAATCTGGAAGACCGAAACTCTTCCCATCGCATTGCCCAGGTGGGGGTACAGACTGTAAGGCAACAAATAGGTTTCACTGCACACACAATCTTTGCTATGAGTAAAGGGAAGAGAAGTTGAGACAGAGTTCAAAGAACAATACAAAAGAATGATTTATTTTCTTCCTGAGGGTTTATGTCCCCCCACTGTTCATTAGTATGCATGGACTTTACTGCCCCATGAGAATAGCTACAGGGGAACACAGAGTTCAAAACCTGTTACAAAGGCTTATCAGATGGGAGCCTACCCTAAAGATCTGTGTAATTACAAAAACACCGCGATAAAATCCACCAAGGAGCAACAGAAAACGTAGATAAGCTTTAAAGGCATAAAAGTTACAGGCTACATCCTTGACCCAAGTGGATCAACATCGCTGTCTCCAGTGGAACCACTAGGATTTACAGGACTAAAAATCTGACCCCAGCTCTGGTGTTGACTCTGGTAATACAACAGCTTTGTGATCTGCTGCCCTCAACATACTTCTTAGTATTTCCCTTTAACAATAATACTGTTTTTAAAAGACATATTTGCTCAAAACAAAGCTGAGTTCTGTGAAGTCTGAATTGACTTTGTGTGGGATACACAGTTCAAGATTTATAGTGGCTTCTTATACTCCTTCATAATTGTCTGCAACGCCCAACAGTGAGTGCACGACTACATGAACCTGTGGGTCTGACTCGGTATGATCACTCTTTTCTTAGTTATGATCATTTAGTGGCACTCAACAGTCTAATCAGAGAACCACAGAATGGTTTGGGTTGGAATGGGCCACGAAGATCACCTAGTTCCAACCCCGTTGCCATGGTCCACTAGACCAGGTTGCTCTAAGCCCTGTCCAACCTGGTCTTGAAAACTGCCAGGGATGGGGCAGCCACAGCTTCTCTGTGCAACCTGTTCCAATATCTCACAGGGAAGAATTTCTTCCTAATACCTAATCCAGATCTACCATCTTTCAGCTTAAAGCCATTTCCCCTTGGTCAGTATTTCATGTAGATTTGCAGTGAAGAAAATACGGTGACAAAAACAGTGGAAAGTACTGAAAATCCACTTTCCTTCCTAAAAAGGAGTTTGTCACATCAAAGCACAAGGAAGTTCCACTTTCATGAAAAATAGTTATGATCACTGAATTACAGGAATGGTGGCGCATTTGGGTGCACTGATTTTGTTCACAGTTTCTCTAGAGACCCTTCAACAGGGAGAGCACGTACAACAGTTACCGCTCCTTAAAATGGCATTTTATATCCAAGAGCCTAGCTTAGGCTTACAGCTATTTTTCACTCGCCCTTTCTGCTTCCCCAACTGCATTTCCAATGTTTTGCATATGGTTACATCAAAGCTAAGCATAAATAAAAAGTTAACATCCAAAGAGCTATTACATCCTATAACAGCACGCTCGTAAAGTGCACATAAATAAGAAGTGACCTATTGTTTGAAGCTCTGTAGCTTTAAGATAAATTTCAAAAACCCTGAAACAGGTTGTGTTGAAACAGAAACCAGTAGGAAAATGGTCACAGCCAGGGCTGCAACTCCTGCAAGCGCTGCCAGGCACATGTGCATTAAAGGACAAGGCAGAGGCAGGGCATCTGTGCAGGTCTGTGTAGACAGGGGGCTGGGACAAACCAGATCTCCTTCCCTCACCCCACTGATCAAATCAGGATCTGTTTCATTCTTGCCTCTAATGAGGAGCAGGGCTGGCCCATGTTTTCAGCAGTCCTAACAAGCAAGAGCAGGCACAGATCAGGCAAAGCATGATGTACCTCCCTTAAGACAACCATTTCAGTGCTTTAAGTGACCACTTTGTGAATATTGCCTTAAACTTGTTGTGCTCCCCAAGGATGTTGGATGGTGGCAGTTTTCCAAAGATGGAGTCAGTCTGAACCAAGCAAATGGTGACAACTTCCCCAGTTTGATGTTTCACAACTCAGCTCATTTTTATCATGTTTATCTATCCATGTCAATGGTTCAAACTTTGATCTTACCTGCTCCAAACCCATCTACATCACTCAAGATTATTCTCCAGTGGTGTCTGGCACCAACTGAAAAAATTGCTGAAGAGCTTTTGCCAGGTCTCAGGAGGGTAAAAACCACAGTACTTGTGTGTTAACTTCACTTTGCATTGAGTCCATCTGAAAGATTTGAATCAGTTCCTCCCTACAACACTGGCAAAACAGTGTGTACCATTAGTAACTTTAACCATGTTCTCAGTGCTGTTAGGTATTCAGCAGAGTCTAGGAAACGATATGCAACATAATATGCCCTATCGAACAACCTCCCCAAAAATACATTCCCTTCCCTCAAATTTTCTCATGAGAATAGCAATATTTTATTCATCTTGTGATTTCCTGACCCTCTCTCTCTAGTAGCTTTTTGGTCTACAACAAGCTGTTTTGCTCAGAGAGAGAAGTATGCAGTGCTCTTACTCAAAGTATTTTCCTACTCTTTGTGCAAGTGAGAGGAAAAAAAAAACTCCCATTCAAAATCTCAAGCATCACATACTTGTAAACAAGCTGCAGAAAAACAGCAGCAAATCAAAAAGACTTCCAGTGATGCTATTGCTGCTTTTCCCACACTCCTCACTGCAGAACCTGACACTGAGAAAAGCACAGATGCAAGCAGCAAGATGGGATGTCCAGGGGGGCACAGAGACCTGCACACTTGGGAAAGGAGCTGTATAAAAAGTGCTAATGTGCAATAGCAGAGCATATTGAAATGATAAAGACAGGACTGTCTGGGGCATCATGCTTCTGTTTTCTAATGGTTATGGATTCTGCAGAAATGCTAATGTTTGCACTAAAGGCCCTCTCAGCAATATTTTGCAGCCTGAATAACTCTTTATTTTGAATTGTTTAATTAGTTAATGAGGTTGGGGAGAAGTCCATCTTAAGGATCATTAGTTAAGACTTTAAAACATGGAGATTGAAGACAATTACTGTCTGAGGGAGTAGTGAAACTTCCCCACTTGTCAGCCAAACACATTATTACACCAAGTGCACGAGCTACACCAGCATTTGCTGGTCTCCATGTCCAGTCCTGGGTCAGGCAAGGTGCAGATACATAACCTGAGGCAGCTGCTTCTGACTTCTTACATGATGAGTCCCCCCCTTTCAAATCCATGGAGCAGTGACAACACACAGAGAAGAAGCACACTTCAACAAGCAGATCAGCTGAGCAGGTTTCTTCTCTTGATGGCCCCCAAAAGTCCACCTCCATAAAGGTCTTCAACCATTACAATGTGTACAACATGCCAAATTCAAGCCAGATGAAATGTTATGTTGAATTAACCGATATAAAAATTGGGTGAGAAGGTCAAGGTTAGTTAAGCACAGAGTTTAGTTTCACTTGAAAATACAATTAACAGAAGTAATAAATAATTTTTTAAAGATGTAAGATGTTTTCCATTTCTGTTGTCTACCTGGACCATTTTTTCCTTATGGCAACAGAGCAACATGCCACTTCTGTTAAGAGGGGTAGAAGGTAGAGATGCGAGTAACTCTAAAATGCAAAGGTAAGCCACCCAAGTGTGAGGTGTATCTAAACAAATAGTTACTTAGTCCTTAGAGATCTGTGTAGAGTCTTTGCTTCAGGCCAAGCTGTTTATACCTGTGGCACTTCTTAATAATTAACTTTTTATAAACTATTTACAAGCAGAACTTTAATATAAAGTGCAAATCTGAACCCCATTACAAGAACAAATGTACTGTTCCAGGAGACCAGTTACTGTAAGAGTTTAATATAATCTGAATCTGCAGGTTTTCTAAAGCAGCTAGTTTTAATAAAGTCTGTACTTACACACAAAAACACACACAACCAGTTTGCTTTGCTACCATCAGCAACAACCACTCAATGGTGTATACTGAATTATGACACACAGCTTGGGTGAACAGACACACACAGAGGTAGGTCTCTTAAGAGAACATATGGATAGGCCACATACTGTACAATGGGCAACACAAGAAGTGGGAGTTAAACTCTGCTACTGTGAGGCTGAGTAAGTATGAGTGGTACTTGGCCAAAAACTCCAGTGAAAACACACTGAAGCTCAGCTGGAAACAGACCCAAGAAAAAGAAGAAAGTGACTGGGGAAGAAAAATACAAAGCAGCTTGAAAAGAGCACTGCTAACATCAGGGTTCTTGAACAGCAAATGTGTAATAGGACTCAACATTGGGATTTCATTCAATTTCTTGTTTTCCCAAAACAGAGCTGAAGGGGTAATTAGGCTTTTGTCTAAGCCAGAATGCAAAATTATTGCATTAAAGGCCAAAGGAGAAACCAACAACTGCTTGTCACCTCTGTTTGCCTAAAGTGAGCTTACTACATGCTGAAGTTGATTTAAAAGTCTATTCTTTTCCCTTTTGGAAGTCCTGTCCTTATTTTGTTACCTAACTGACCTCCAAAAGCCTCACCCTGAGCACCTCTTCAGAGATTCAGAAAAATCTGGCTCAGGACTACCATTCCTCCACTGTAGTTAAGATTCATTTCACACAGAATCAAGAAAGTTTTAAACTTCATGGGGGGAAAAGCCATTTCTGGAAATAAAGTTCACATTAAGCTGCTTTTTTGTCTTTTTCTCTCCCAATTCTACTCTGTGTAGCTTAGAGAAACTTAAACTTATCCCAGCTTTCATATCTTCATCCCACCAGCTGTAGCCCCTGGTGTCTCTACTCCAATTCCTAAATTTCCTTTCTGGCCCATGACGTAATTTCTTATGCTACCAGTTCTTCCCAGAAAGCTGCTTCCTTAATAATGTGACTAAGGGCAACACCTTTACAGTGCTGAAGCAAATCAGTAAATACAGTTGCTCAAGTTTGGTTTTTTCTCTCTCAAGGTTTCAGTAACCTTTCAGGAAAATAACTCCTTGCAGACCATTAGTAGAGGAAACAGAGCTAAGCAGTAAAATGCCAGTTCATTACACTTGTGGGGAAGAGAAGATGTAATAACTGCTAGATTGCAAACAATTTTCTTCACAGTTATAGTAAAAGAGGCAAGAGAAACAAAAGGTATTTCTTGAGTTTTCAACACCACCAGAAAAATCCCTCTATGGTACTTACCTTCAGGGTTGGGGGCTATACCAAAATCAAGTTTATCTGCAGGCTGGTTGGAGGCAAGATCAACTCACCTCATTCACACCAAAGTATACTTTGGTTACAGCCTTACTGAAATAAAACTATTAGCAGAGGGAGTTTTTACTCAAAATTAATACTGGAAGTAAAATTCAACCCTGAAAGTACTTTTCCATATGTGTTTGGTTTTTTGGTTTTGTTTTGTTTTTTTCTGGTAGCTGCTTCATGTTCTTGTTTTGTTCTCCAGATCAAAATAGGATAATCAGAAAAATCAGCTGGCTTAGACAGGCTTCCACTTTGGTTTTGATGGAAGTTTGGTGAGTATCCTCCATCAGAGGAGAGTGGTTTTCTGCTCTTTGGCTGCTGGACACAGCTCTCAAACAGCTTTAACTGCAACAGCTCTGTTCAATATTAACAACAATACTCTTAAATAAAGAGAACAAACCAAAGCCCCAGCAGCCTTGCTCTGTGCCCACAATTCACTTATGATAGCACACTTTAGTTGCTCTAACAGCAAAGTAGAGCACATCAAGCACAACCCAGCAGAAACAGAATAACCCATTTAGTTATAAAGTTTCAGGTAGTTTATCATACAGTAACAGAAAATCCTGTTTACATTTTAACAGCATCATTATACTTTCAATGGCATTTAGATCAGCACAGTGAGCTCATTAGGTAGTGTTGAGTAGCTGTACCTACAGAGAAAATGTTACAGGATTTGGGATAAAACCTATTAAATTACTGCAATCCTTCTACAGGGTTCATTCAATTCTGGATGAAGCACTTTGTCTTCCATAGAGGAAACCACAGATCTTTCACAGAAGAAGCTTGCACATTTTTCAGGAGACTATTTCTCCAGCAAACTGTCAGGTAGCACTGTGTGAATCATTTATTTTCAATTTGGCAGTTGAATGAAAACTAAGGAGGAAAAAAAAAAAAGGAAAGAAAAAACCCTTCAGTACAAGCTGAAGTGAATTTGAATGGGTTTAATTTCTATCTCATTGGGCCAAGGAAACCCAGACTTCAAAAAAACCACACCATTTCACTTAACACAGACATTCCCATTGTTAAAGTAAAAGCCAGGTATAAAGAAGACAGACTTACCGCTTATTTTACAGCCCAAAGAGGACAACCAGAGCAGAGGTGGAAGGTCACAGTCCTACTTTCATCCATGGAGATTGCACAGTCCAACCTTCACTTCTCCACATGCACCATCTATCACAAGAGAACACCTAAAAGTAAAAATACTGGTCTCACCTTCCTCAAATGATACTATTAATGACAATAATGTAACATCAAAATCCAATTATTGCCTAGAAACAGGTTCTCCTGCATAGAATAACAGGATGGTCTGAGTTAGAAGAACTTTAGAGATCATCTGGTTCCAACTCTCCTACAACAGACAGGGACACCTTCCAGCAGACCAAGTTGCTTCATCCCACTTCACCTTGGACACTTCCAGGGATAAGACAGCAACAGGTTCTCTGGGCAACCTGAGACAGTTTCCCACCACCCTCATAAAGAAGAATTTTTACCTAATGTCTAATCTAAATCTCTCCTCTTTCAGCTTAAGCCACCCCCACTACATGCTCTTATTAAAGACCCTCACAGATTTCTTGTAGGCCCCCTTTAGAGCTACCTTCAACATACCCATAAAACTCCTCCTTGTCTTCATAAAAGCAGATCTCTTTCTACATACAAAGGCAACTCCCTCAAGGAGACCAAGGAAAACACATGTCATGCTGTCAGGCTCCTGGGGGCACTAATGAGCACTTAATTGCCCTGATGGGTCTCACCTGGGATTCTCAACTACCTTGCTCCTAAAGGATATGATGACTACACCTCTCACCTTGGCCTTGCCCTATTGTTGTGCCCCATCTGTCTGCCACCAGTGTCTGCTCAGCATTCACTGCTGCCCCATGGTCCTGCTCAAGGACTGCACCATGGTGGTGCAGCAACTGCCTGGTCCCTGCTCCCAGCTTCCCTGCAGCAGCCTGTGCTATTAGCTTTCCCATAACTGGGTGTTGCGGGGCCAAGATGGGAAACTTCACCAGTCCCCCAAGCCATGGGGTCCAGCTTTCCACTTCTGTGGAGCTTTGGGTGAGCTGCCAGGCCCTGCAGGAGGAGGGGGCCTGTAAAAGAGGAGAAAAGAGTGGCTGATGCTGCCACAGAAAATTAAGTTATAATAACTTCTGCCAAAATATTGTAAAAACAAGGGGGAAAAAGATGCTATTTTAAGTCTTCCACTCTACAGAGATTATATTCAGCAAGTTGCCTCTCTTCAACTTGATTAGGAAAGTTTAAAAGGTCACAACAGACCACGGAGTATTTGCAACCTGGAAATGAGTCAGCTTTCAGAGCACGGGGTTGAAATGCCTTGCTGAAGCAGCCTGTCCTTCTTGCACCTAAGACATTGAAACTATAGGCTGACACATGGAATTTTATGTCTGCAAAGCATTTTCTGAGCTAGCGTAATTATATTTGAAGCTGTAGCATGATATAAACTGCTTTTAAGTCCCATAAAAAGCTTGTGGTGGTCTGCACAACAAACCTCTCTAGTGCTATAACCCAGGTATTAGTCAAGAAAAAATGTTTTGTTTTAACCTTTCCCATCAAATACTCAGAAATTTAATCAAAAATCACCCACTTTTTTCCATATGTGTTTTTAATGTCGAGGACACGTCACATGTCATGGGAAAAAATTTGCTGCTGCAAATTTCAACTAGTTCTGGTAAAGAGCTATTTCTCTAGGAATAAGGGCCCCAACAGTGCTGAAAGAAGAAATCCTTAAATGTAGCACGTGCAATAGTGAAATTTGCTCCTATTACTTCAGACTCTTGGGACCAAGACACCAAGTTAGTCATAAATGCTCTGTGACATTAAGTTTTCCAAAGATACCACAGCTTTGACTGGTAAACCATAAATTTATGAACACCTGAAAACCCCAGAGGGCAAAACCGAATCTTTAGGTTTGCAAAGGCAATTCCAGTGATATCATTTTATTAGCCCCTTACTACTTCACAGCTCAGAAAGCAACACGCATCTAAATTAAAGCAGTATCTCCATGTCAGACTGGATTTTGTAAGGGACTATGTAATCAATACAAAAAGGGAATATAGATTATGTGAAGCTCTGTATGATAAACTGAACCATTCCTGTAATTTTTGCAACCATACACAGAATCATAGAATCATGGAATAATTTGGGTTGAAGGGACCTTAAAGTTCACCTGGTTCCAACCCCTCCCATGGGCAAGGACACTTCCCACTAGACCAGGTTGCTCCAAGCCCTGTCCAACCTGGCTCTGAACACTGCCAAGGATGAGGCAGCCACAGCTTCTCTGGGCACCCTGTGAGAGGGCTGCACCACCCTCATAGTGAAGAATTTCTTCTTACAAAGTTTCAAACTCAAAGACCAGTGAGAACTTGCCAAGCATCACACCTGAGCGGTGACAGTGTCCCTCTGCAAGATGAGGTTATCTGACACATTCAGCTTCAAGATCTGAAATAACGCTGTCTGCTGGCATCCTGGAGAAACTGCACTGTGTGGTATCACAGATATCATAGAACTGAATGAGGATTTTAATTCAGACAACAGGAAGATCTGCAGCCTTTGAAGGGAAAAAAAGATTTACGGCTTTGTGACCTCTTCAAGCCACAAGCCACCTGATCAGCTCACAAGCCAGCTTATCAGGTATCATGTTAGTACATGAACGGGGAGCCTTTCCTCCAAGTGTAGAAAGGTATTTGACTGGCAAAACCCAAAAGCAAAATGGACAAAAGTAATATAACCACAGAGGCAGCAAAAGCTTTAAAAAGCTGGAGCTTGCTTTTGTGTAAAGACTGATCTCTTGGCTGAATGTGCTTGGGGCAAAGACTGGAATTAATACCCTTTCTTCATCCTGTTTGGGGATTTAAACTTAGTGCCATCCTTTCGGTTGCCACAAAGCCATAGTACTACCAGTGAGAGTGCAAAATACCAGGACACATTTCTGAAAAGGGAAGACCTCTCTCAGTTCAGAACAGCCAAGCGTGTGCTTGCAAAGAGCCTGTGTGAGACACGCAACATCCCACCACATGCTGCCCTGCCTCATCTTGGGGAAAAACCTTCCCTCGCTAGGGAATACTGGTGGAAACTCACAGCCAGTGGCATGGCTTTCACATGCATAGGTAACAATGGAGGAACTGGACTACATATACGGCTAAAGGGGTGTCTCGCAATGGAGGTAACCTGTCTAAGGTCCCACACTGTCCCTGTCACTACCCCATCCCACTTCACCTCACAGCTTCCCAGGATCTGCTCCATGCTTTTGAAAGACAGTTACCAAATAAAGACACTATCTGACCAGCGGTTAACAACCAGCTTGTTAGTTAATAGCCTGAGGGAATCTGAGGGCGTTTTATGCTCTAATACTCTGTTCATTAACTATAGTAACAACCAATTTCAAGGTGATTATTGCTATTATAAGCTATGATCAATTTTTTAAACATGTTTCCATTTTCATCCAGCTTAAATCTGGTGCAGCAGAGCAAGGGGAGCAGCTGTGTTGAGAATTAGACTTCTCCCCAGATTAATATCTGATTTTCCATCAAAGAGAATACAGGACACATTCTGTTAGGTTTCTAATTGTTTCTACCATAAACCTTCACCACACTGAAATATGATCTCTAATAATTTTTAGTTTGAACTTCCTATACATAATCCATTTGACTAGATGGTCCTCAGCAAAAGCCGTTAAAGCAATTTGTTTCACTTACGTAGAGGAATAAATCAGTGCTTAATTATCTGTGGTTTATTATTAACAGCACTGGTGAGCTGACCATATGCCATGACTTCATCTTTTCACACAGAAAAATGAGAATATACTGATTGTTTTTATTATGCCTTTCAGCACTCAGCCAGGGTTCCAATGAAATGAAGACTGAGAGGTCTGCAATGTTACTCAATGATAAATAATAATATTCGACAATTCTTTGTCCTTGCTTTTAGGATCCACCTTTACATGCTCTTTTACTGGAAGTACTTACTAGCATCTCTCATGGCAGGAGAAGATAGAATTATAACTGAGGATGTTTCCAGGAGGTATATGATATTTAGCATAGTGTATTTCTCTGTTGGCTTTCAAAGATACTGGCTTTAAAACATGGCATATGTTCAACTCCAGAATTCTTGACACACAGTATGCATTTAATGTAAAGACCAGAAAGACACACCTTCTTGATTTTTCAGGCTTAATTGAGTCCATGCTGCAAACCTTTATGAAGTCAGTGCAGTACCAAATAACACAGGTTTTGATCCTCTGCCAGGGCAGCCTTAAACTCTTTAGTAGACACAGCGGCAAAATAAAACTTTCTTGAAAACATTACGGACTGATGAACTGCTTTGGAATGAGTTCAGCTGCCCAGACTTTCTCCACTCCAGATAGATCCAAAATGAACCAAAGGTTCTTTGAGATGCAAACCTCTGAACCACAGTGGCAGACACAGGCACAACCTCAATTCAGTAAATAGCAGGTGGTTTATATTTGTCAAAACAGGAATGGAAAGCCTTCAGATTCAAAGGCAGCTATGCCGTTGTTCCCTACTGCAAACAGGACAAGACTCTTCTGCACATGTTTCTGGGTGCTGGTGGGGTTTGTCACCCTGAGAGCCACTAGGTCCATTCTTGAAGATCTTTAAGCAAAGATCTGGTTGGCTGGTCACACTCTTGAGAGTTGCCCTGTGTCCAAGTGGAGACCAGTGCTCAGTGGTATCCCTCAGGGGTCACTGATGGGACCAGCACTGTTCAACATCTTTGCTGGCGGCATGAACACTGGGATTAAGTGAGCCTTCAGCAAGGTTGCTGATGACACCAGTTTGTGTGGTGCAGACAACACACTGGAGGGCAGGGATGCCATCCAGAGGGACCTAGACAGGTGGGCCAGCACAAACCTGATCAAGTGCAGGATGGCCAGGTGCAAGGTCCTGCACACGGGTTGGGACAACCCCAAGCACAAACACAGGCTGGGCAAAGACTGGATTGAGAGCAGGCCTGAGGAGAAAGACTTGAGGGTGTTGATTGATGAGAAGTCATATTTGACTTGTTGGAGTGAGTCTAGGGGAGGCCACAAAGATGATCAGAGGGCTGGAGCACCTCTCCTATGGAGACAGGGTGAGAGAGTTGGGGTTGCTCAGTCTGGAGAAGAGAAGGCTCCCAAGAGACCTTACAGCAGCTTCCAGAACCTGAAGGGGCCTATCATAAATCTGAAGAGGGACTTTTTACAAGGGAATGTGAGGATACGCCACAGGACAATGGCTTTGAACTGAAAGAGGGTAGATTTAGATTAGGTATTGGGAAGATATCCTTCACTGTGAGTGTAGTGAGACAGGTTGCCCAGAGAAGCTGTGGATGGCCCATCTCTGGAAGTGTTCAAGGCCAGGCTGGATGGGGCTTTGAGCAACCTGGTCTAGTGGAAGGCAAGGGGGTTGGAACTAGAAAATAGTATCATAGATATTTAAGGTCTTTTTCAACCCAAACCACTCTGTGATTCTATGATTCAAAGTGACATGCGGGCTTCAAGTGGAAATCTCAGATATGCTGAGGGGATGCAATGTGCCCATCAACCAAAAGGGACAAGGAAATCAGCAGGTACATGTAAAAAATCCAGAGAAGTCTGTCCCTTTTAGGTTTTAGAGTCAGCCTCCTGAGCTGCACCTC